CTTTGGAAATGGGGATGGATTCAAGCTGAATGGAGTACACACTGCAGATAGGCCTATTTCAATTGTGAATAATGCAAAAGAATGATGGCAAAATCCTAACGAGTAGACCATTTAGAAACCGGTAATACTTTGTTTAGATAGTCCGTCTATAGATGCTCTACAGACTATCAGTAACATTTCAACAAACTATCTACTAACCCTAGCCCTAACCTTAACCCTTATCCTAACCCTAAACTTAACCCTAGCCCTAACATTAAACCTTACCCTAACCCTTATTCTAAACCTAACCCTAACCGTAACCTTAGCAAGCAGTTGCTTATCAACAGATAGTTTGTTGATAGTATGACCATCTGTAGAGCATCTACAAATGGACTATCCGGACTAACCAAATAAAGTGTGACCTAGAAACCTTTTATAGATGGGCTCTTTGGCTAATGCATGGCCAGGATAAGAAATACACCTGACGCATTGCTGTTGAAACAGCTTTCATTATAGTAGGCCTAGGGCTTGTTTTTGAATCACATTAAATGGAAAACAAGCAATTGTTACAGGAAAATAACTGAAATGTTTCTAAATAGGGTCACCGGTATCTGCTCATCTCTCGTTCCATGATGGGCTTATGGACATGTTGCCTACATGAGGGGTTTAAGCATTTCTAAATAATAACAGGAGCTGGCTAAAATAATGTACAGATAAAAAGGGGATGTCCGCTCACATTTTGTGTTTGACAATTGCGCTGGCTTAACGCCAGCCGGAAATAGAGCCCATTGTGTAAATATATGCCACTGTATGGTGCTGCGTCCCAATGTCTTTTTTCTGTGCACCGCACTTTCCACTTCATTCAAGCCACAGCCCCTGAATGAATAGCTGCTCGGTTTGCAGCATAATGAACTTTGAGCGTTCCTGTCAGCGGTGTTGGCTCGCCACCAGGCAGTTAAACAGTATGTGAGGTCTGTATGGTGCATACACACACCGTGGGTGGGCCAAGCTCGTCAAACTCACGAAGCTAACGGCTAAAGCCATGCTGTACCGTTACAAGCCAACGATTGCAACAGGCAGACGCTAGGCCCAATGTTTACCCTTAGCATACTATGTTATTTGCTAACTCACTGAGAACCACTTAGGCAGTATAGTCTGTGTTGATTCACTGGATGTATAAAATGGGAAAGAAAACCTGTTAAATGTTCCTTAGTTTAAGTGTATGTTATCTAGCAACTCTGCCTTCGTTATGTGTACAGGTAGTTCCCAGTAATCTAGCAACTCTCACTTAGTTTTCAGTACAGGTGTTTGTTACCTAGATGTTACCTACTACAGATGTTACCTAGTAACTTAGTAACTTTTTCTACCTAATAACTTTTTCTTAACTCTCAGTACAGGTGTATGCTACCAACAACCTTTTCTTACAGTAGCTCTCAATACATTTAGATGTTGCCTAGCAACTATTTATTGTATGCCTATAGGCTATATCCTGGTGTGGAATTGGAAAAATTAACTTTAGAAAATCCTAATGTAGAATCCCAGGAGTTCACCTTTAAGACACATATTTACATGTGAAAATGATTTCACTTTGGGAACTCCGCTCACAAGTGTTGCCCCCCCACCCTATTCCACCAACAAACACTGTAAAGCAATATATTGTCGATTCTGTGGAAGGAAAATCTCTGTGACTGAGCTTCTATTCCCCAGACTTTCTGTACAGCCAGACAAGATGCACCCAATTTCAAGAGTTTCTGCAATGGCTGTAAATGTAATAAGTGTAGTGACTGGTTCCATTCATTTACATTTTACATTTTAGTCATTTAGCAGACACTCTTATCCACAGCGACTTACAGTTAGTGAGTGCATACATTTTCATACTGGCCCCCCGATGGAATCCTGCCATCTTTCTAATTTGATTCATATTCATGATTTGAGATTTCAATCTCCCAGTTAGAAGCATATGTATTGGTGCATAGAAATGTAGAAATGGGCCGGTTCTGTTTATATCACATCTTGCCATTCAGAGGCTGAGGGATCTTGGGATGCCTCCAAAGGCCTCCAAAATGGCACCCTCTTCTGTATATAGTGTGTGTGTGGAGGGGGGGGTTGGGTGGATTTCAGTATAATCTGGTGGATTCCTTTGGAGTTGGGGGGTACAATGTGCTGTGTGTATGTGGTACTAGGCAGGGGGGTCAGGTAAAGGGGCTGTATGTTGGGGCGTAGGGGGTCAGTGGTAGGGGTTAGAATCTGATGAGGTAGTGTTTTTTAGGGGTGGAGGTTGATATAGGCTGGTGGATTTTTGTGAAGCGTGGGTGGGAGGGGGGTGGTACTTGTGAGTGTGTATTGAAGAAGAAGTGTGTGTGGTTGTTTGCAGGTGTGCACAGCCATGTGTATTTGTGTGTGTGTGTATGCGTGCACGCCAGTATGCATTTGTGCGTGTACACATGCATGTACATGAATGTGTATGTATGAGGAGGTGCACCCCCACAACACGGGCTGCAGGGTCTGGTAGTGCATGCCGGGGAGGAATGGGGGTAGGAGGGGTGCATTGTTAGGGAATCCAAAGACGGCGTAATTAAGCCCAATGGATCCCAGATGGCTGGCTGTCAGTGACGTGAGAAGAGGGACGAGCCCCTAATGGGAACCAGACGCCCGCCGAAACGCTTTGAACTGGCGGCCGGAGAGAGAGGGAAAGAGAGAGGGGAGAGAGAGGAAGGGAGGGAAAGGGAGAGAGGGGGAGGAGGGGAGAGGCAGAAAGAGAGAGGAAGAGAGAATGGGGGAGAGAGAAAGAAGAAGGAGAGAGGGAGAGACAGGGACGAAGGGAGGATGGAGAGAGACAGAGAGAGGAGATGGTGGGGGAGAGAAAGAGGTAGCGAGAGGAATCAAACACGGCATGGGCCGTGTGTGCTCGCTAAATCACTGGCAGCAGCAATGGGAGGAGGAAGGGAGGAGGAGGAGGAGAAGAACAAAGGAAGCGGTCCCAGAAGATGAAACTAGAGAATCTGTGCTGGCATCATCGTCAAATACTCCCCTCTGGACATCACTCTCTCTTGGTCCTGATGGTTGTTATCTGTTTGGTAGCACTTTACATAAAGTTGCCCTTGTTGGCATGTAGTTTAACTACTTTGGTAACCAGAATGTATCCTAGTAGGTACTCAGGTGTACCAGGTAACTGCATATAAGATACATAAAACAATTATTACATTTCATGGAAGAGGCCAAATGTTCTTTTTAATTAAGTTTAGTGAGTGTGTTTTCACATGAAATGTTGTCAAACTGAGAAATGTAAATGATGTGTAACTATGTGTAACTACATGGTATCTGTGTGACTTGATGTAATGTTTATCTATCTATTATGTGAGGCTGGAGTTAGAGCACCATGTGGTTAGCATTTCAACTTTCATCTACTTTTAATTGGGGTGACATTGTGTCACTTACCTGTATGTTACCTAGGAGTTTGTAGAAATGTTTCGGACAGTTGGACTGATCAATGGTAGCCTGGTTCTGGATTTGTTTGTGCTGTTTCGCAATGACCATAGGTGTTGGCAAGACCGCACAAACTGATCTGGGACCAGGTTAGATCTGTGGAACATGGGGTTTAATTTGACCATGTTTCTTCAAAATGTTACCCAATGTGACATATCGTCATACCGTCCTTCTCTCATCTCGGGATTTACGGTATTACCGGTTTAGTACACAAGGGGGCACCAGATAAAATGCAAAAATACCATTTGGCGACTATTACCAGAATGCTAAAAAGAAATTGCACAAATAATAGCGAATTTCCATGGAGGCTGCTAGCTAAATATGCTAACAAGTGCAAACTAAAATAAACTAATTGCAAAGACAAGGAATCTAGCTCATAAAGTTATACATATATAGGTAGGAGCTACCGAATGTCATTTTTGGTGAGTTTGGACATTGACAAGCGAATGTGAACGAGAGACATTGTACAAATAAACAAAGTTTGGACGCATGCCTGTCTGAAGGAAGAACAACAGTACTGGCTCTGGAGCAGCATGTGTACACGCTGTGTCTGTGTGGAGTCTGGAGTCGCTAGGGCACCGGGCCTGCCTGCTCTGCTCAGAGAAGAGCAGGCAAAACATTAGGAAATGTAGCTGTCTACATTCTTTCTATGAAAGGCTTAAACATTAGAAATATGATGGCCATGCATAGTTTTTGACAAAAAAAGACCTTGCTTTTTCATTGTAAGCTGCCAGCCAAATAGCGTTGCACTTCTGTTGTCATCTGATGAAAATGAAGCTATTTTATGTCGAATGTGGTGCACTAACTTATTTTCTGTGAAGGAAAACTATAGTTGCACATCCCTGATCACTGTATTGAAGCAAAAAAACACTGTTGACTTTCCTGCTCCCGCCATCTCCCATTGTGCTAGTTACAAACAAACATGTGACTGGCTCAACTGTACTGGGGAACTAAGTAAGCTTCATAACGTAAAATAATGTGACAGGTGACATAAGAACGCGATCTGCTTTATCTCCTAACACATTGCACAAGTTGACTGCAGGTATTTACTTAAAAAATGACTACAAATATAAAAATGTATTGAAAAACGTCAAAGAAACAGTATTGGCGGTATTGAAAAACCATCCCGTGGCTATTTCCAAATACCCCGGTATATGGCCTAGTGTGAAATGTACAGTCAATTAAAGGGTCATAGTCACATATAGTATGTTATTCTCTTGTGACCCTGAAGAATCGTTTTATGCTCTTGCTAGCAACTACGTTCGTCTGTCACGCAGGCTCAGCAATGACTTTCTCACGTGGGGACAGCAGAATTTTCTTTGTTAAAAAAAACTTTTTTTTTGTAACACTTTCTATGAATAACCTCTTCATAATGCATTATAAGCACATTTACTAGGCCTTATGAGCTATGCTATTTTCAATGATTTTGAGACGATTTAGGAAAACGTACTAGTTTGAGTGCTTGACCTACAACAGCGTTGAAGACTTGAACGACTCTTTCTTGTCAATGGGTTTAATGGTCTGATTTCTCTCTCCTGTCTGTCTCCAGGACTATAGTGATGCCGATTGCCCATGAGTTCTCTCCTGACATGGTGCTGGTCTCATCTGGTTTCGATGCCGTCAAGGGACATCCGGCGCCACTAGGGGGCTACAAAGTGTCGGCCAAGTGTAAGCTCACTAAACGCCTCGTCAGTTCCTCACTGAACCATACGCAGGGACACACGCAAATATACATTTGAGTGTACGCACACACACACATACAAAAGGTCATGGGATCACACATTATTATTTATTTTTTACAGTTGACAAGCATAATTGAGACTTAATGGACATTTTTTTGTAAATATGAATCCTCTCCTAATATCTAACAACTTTATAATAATGCTTTATTTTATTACAGTACATTGCCTATTTATAGCTAGAGAGTTAGGGGAGTCAAAAATGTAACAGTGGTAAAAAAAAACTCGCACAAATTGAGTAGCCTATGCTACAGTTAGTTTTAAGTAGTGTTAAATAATCACATGTTGGCAGCCATCTTTGATTCCTTGGTGTTTTCCCATGTCAAAGCAAATCAAAAGGATTGATGTAGCAAAGTACTCAAATGGTTCTCTTTTATTACTTTTATTCAAACAAGTGTTATCACCTGTGGGAATTTAAATACCATTCATTCAGATGGTTTATTTTCAAACCGTTCACTTTTAAATGTTTACATCCTAGCTGGCACAATAACAATCAAGCTAGCTGTCTTTACTGGTTCACCATTGGCTCTAGCTCAGCCAATCCAAACGGCTTGATTAGAATAGATTTGATTGTGAAGCTAAATTAATACCTTACTCTCCCTTCTATGGATCTCACAGGTTGAAATGAACCTGTCCCACAAGTTCTAAACTGTTCTAAGAGCAACCTATTCCTACCTCATCCTCACTATCTTAGGAGTTCTACTACGTTGATCAGACTGTTCTATATTTCACAGGGTTTATACAGTAGTTTAGTCAGTATTAGTTCCTGACAAAGAGCAAACAGTGGCAGTCTTGGCAGATTTGATGTTTATGTCTGTGAGCAGGAAGTCGCCCCACTGTGTATGATTATGTCAGATCGCTGAGTCTACTTTGTAAAAACAAGTTTTGACTTTGTCATTATGGGGCATTGTGTGAAGATGGGTGAGGAAAAAAATATGATTTTATCCATTTTGAATTCAGGCTGTAACACAACAAAATGTGGAACAAGTCAAGTTTTGACTTTGTCATTATGGGGAATTGTGTGTAGATAAGTGAGAAAAAAAACTATTTTTTCCATTTTGAATTCAGGCTTTAACACAATAAAATGTAGAATAAATCAAGGGGTATAAATACAGTGTCTTCAGAAAGTATTCATACCCCTTGACTTATTCCACATTTTGTTCAAAATGAATAGAAAATTGATAAAATCGTTTTTTTCTCACACAATACCCAATAATGACAAAGTGAAAACTTGTTTTTAGAAATGTTAGCTAATTTATTGAAAATGAAATAAAGACATATCTAATTAACATAAATATTCACACCCCTGAGTCAATACATGTTAGAATCACCATTGGCAGCGATTACAGCTTTGCATCTTTCTGGATAAGACCCTTAAGAGCTTTGCACACCTGGATTGTACCATTTTTGCCCATTCTTTTCTAAATTCTTCAAGCTCTGTCAAATTGATTGTTAATCATTGCTAGACAGCCATTTTCAAGTCTTGCCATAGATTTTCAAGTAGATTTAAGTCAAAACTGTAACTAGGCCAATCAGAAACATTCACTGTCTTCTTGGTAAGCAACTCCAGTGTAGTTTTGGCCTTGTGTTTTAGGTTATTGTCCTGCTGAAAGTTGAATTCATTTCCCAGTGTATGGTGGAAAGCAGACTGAATCAGGTTTTCCTTTAGGAATTTGCCTGTGCTTATCTTCATTCCATTTATTTTTTATCCTGAAAAACTCCCCAGTCGTTAATGATTACAAGCATATCCATAACATGATGCAGCCACCACTATGCTTGAAGATATGGAGAGTATCACGTATCAGGATATGACCCAGATGCAGACACAGGAGGCAGATAGTACAGTTCTCCGATTATTTATTATAAACACGGGGCAGGCAAAGGGCAGGTCGAGGACAGGCAGAGGTTCGTCATCAGGTCAGAGTCAGGCAGGTACAGGACGGCAGGCAGGCTCGGGGTCAGGGCAGGCAGAGGTTCGTCGTCAGAGTCAGGCAGGCACAGGACGGCAGGCACGGGGTCAGAGCAGGCAGAACGGTCAGAACTGGGAAAAACTAGGAAACAGAACTTGAGACACAGGAAGACGGGAAAGAATGCTGGTAAGACCTGACAAGACAAGATGAACTGGCAACAGACAAACAGAGAACACAGGTATAAATACACTGGGGATAATGGGGAAGATGGGCGACACCTGGAGGGGGGTGGAGACAAGCACAAAGACAGGTGAAACAGATCAGGGTGTGACAGAGAGTAGTACTTAGTAATGTGTTGTATTGGATTTCTCCCCGAACATAACACTTTGTATTCAGGACAAAAAGTGAATTGCTTTGCCACTTTTTTTGCAGTATTACTTTAGTGCCTTGTTGCAAACAGGATGCATGTTTAGGATTATTTTTATTGTGTACAGGAATCCTGTTTTTCACTCTGTCAATTAGGTTAGTATTGTGGAGTAACTACAATGTTGTTGATCCATCCTCAGTTTTCTCCTATCAAAGCCCTTAAACTCTGTAACTGTTTTAAAATCACCATTGGCTTCATGGTGAAATCACTGAGCGGTTTCATTTATTTTCCGGCAACGGAGTTAGGAAGGACGCCTGTATCTTTGTAGTGACTGGGTGATTTGATACACCATCCAAAGAGTAATTAATAACTTCACCATGCTCAAACGGATATTCAATTTCTTATTTTCTATTTTTACCCATCTACCAATAGGTGCCCTTCTTTGCGAGGCATTGGAAAACTTCCCTGGTCATTGTGGTTGAATCTGTTTTTGAAATTCACTGCTCAACTGAGGGACCTTACAGATGATTGTATGTGTGGGGTACATACTGTAGATGAGCTAGTCATTCAAAAATCATGTTAAACACTATTGTTGCACACTGAGTCCATGCAACTTATTATATGACTTGTTAAGCACATTTTTACACCAGAACTTATTTAGGCTTGCATAACAAAGGGGTTGAATGTTTATTGACTCAAGACATTTCAGCTTTTCATTTTGTAATAATTTGCAAAAATTTCAAAAAACATAATTCCACTTTGACATTATGGGGTGTTGTGTGTAGGCCAGTGACATACAATCTCAATTCAATACATTTTAAATTCAGGCTGTAACACAACAAAATGTAGAAAAAGTCAAGGGGTGTGAATACAGTACTTTCTGAAGGCACTGTACCTTTAAAAACCAGCAAATTTCAGCATTACAGCTTTTTCCCTCCGGGTTCTCACACATCCTGTATGTGTGCTTGGCAAAATGGAGAAGAAGGGGCTTTTTGTATCAACGATTGTATCCATGCATCTGTGACCTTTGGAATGTTTTAATCCTTTTCATTGTAATTTGTGAATTCAAATAAAGTATTTAAATGTATCTCTCCCTCAGGTTTTGGCTTCCTGACACGTCAGCTGATGGGGCTGGCTGGGGGCCGGGTTGTCATGGCACTGGAGGGGGGTCACGACCTCACGGCAATCTGCGATGCCTCGGAGGCCTGTGTCAGCGCCCTGCTGGGCACTCAGGTCAGTAGACACAGATCTAAGACTAGCTTACCCCTCTGTAAATTCTAACCCTAGCCATAAGGGGGAAAAACACAATGCTGACCTTCGATCAGCATCTAGGGCAGTGATGGGTAGTCTTAAGGTGTCCACATGCTTCCCAGCAGAAACAGTTCAGAAGAGTTTGTGCATGTATTATGACAACATTTTGTGATGTTTTTGTTAGTTTTGGACTTCGGTGAGGTTTTTTTGGGCTGTTCGGGTACACCACATTTTTTCCAAAGTTCAGGAGTCGAAGTGTACGCCCCTTCGTCTGTGATTGGTCAACTGTAGGGATTCTTCAATAGTCTTTGTTGTCATTCAACGTTTTTATTTGACTCGTTTTTCATTGAGAAATGCTGCACCAAACATCTTAGTTAGATGTAAAATTGCGCCACTAACATCTCCTCTGCTAAAACATCAAATTAATGACAGATTTCTTGAGTTATCTTAGATTAATTCTGACTATTTTGAGGAAGTGGCTACGGCGTCTCAAAATGGCCAAACAGTACTATTGCCACTTTTTTCTTGTTTTTCAAGCGAAGGTCTTTTAAGGGAGTATGCGAGCACACTCTTTTGGTTTGTCTAGCCAACTTCGGCTAGCCGCCAGCCGAACTGAAGCATGCTGACGCCTTTACCATGCAGGAGGATGGATCAGCTTACCCCTCCCCAAATCCTAACCATAACCATTAGGGAGAACAAAGCAATACTGACCTTATATTATTGTCTAGGGCAGTGTTGGGTAGTCTTACCCTGTTGTGGGTGCAGCCTTTTGCTCTATCCATGCAGTGCCAGCAACACACCTGTTTGCAGGGGAGGCGTAATGTGTCCTTAGAGTGATATAAGGTCTTTCACTTTAGTACATCACACCCACCGCTTTTGTATGTGTGTGTGTCTGCATGTGTGTGTGCGTGTAGCGTGCTATGTTTGTGCGTTGCAACGTGTGTGCAAGCGTGCGCAAGCGTGTGTGTGTTTGAGTACCTGTCTGTGTGTGATGTTTTACCCCCCCCCCCCCCCCCCCCCCCTCCTCCTCTGTGTGTCCCCCTCCCCCAGGTGGAGCCCCTGTCTCAAGCGGTTCTGGAGAGGAGACCAAGTCGCAACGCTGTCCTCTCTCTACAGAGAGTCATACAGGCCCAGGGTAAGCACCTGACACACACTATCTGTCTCTCCCTATATCTCTTTCTTTGTCCGTCCTCTCTTTCTGCCTCACTCTCTCTCTCATTATCTCTGTCTTACTGTCTTCATCACTCTTCCCTCTGCCAATCTGTCTTTCACTCTACAGCATCTTCCCTCTCTCTCGTTCTTTTTCTTTAAGCCTTCCCTGTACACCTCTCTTGTTCCATCCATTGTATGTTTTTCCCTTTCCCACGTCTGTTCCATCTCTACCACTCCAGCCTCGGTCTCTCTATTTAGTTTATCCCTTTATCTGTAGTATCTCTTCTCTCCATCTGTCTTGCTGTAATTTCTCTCTCCGACCACCTCTCTCTCCATCCCATCCCTTTCTCCTCCATTCATCCCTCCTTCCTTCTCATTCTTTCCTTCCCTCTCTCACACACACACACACACACACACACACACATGCACACACACAGAGAGAGCCCTCCACTGCCTTCCTGGCTCCAATTATCTTCAAACACTTCTCTGGCACACGACCTTCACAACATCCCCTCCTGATTGCGCACAAATGTTATCCCAATCCAATTAGATTAATAAAAAATATTTGCAAAGCCACAAGAATGTTAAGCCCCTTCATTTAGGCAGAGGGTGAAATATATGTGTGGTGAATACTGGGAACACACACATGCGTGCACACACACACACACACACACACACACACACACACACACACACACACACACACTATGGCCCCCTCTCTCTCTTTTATACACACGTCACACACACCAAGGCTCTTCAACACACACATATTCAATTCTTTATTTTCCTTCCGCCATGTGTCAAGAGACACACGCATGTCCTAAACGAAAAGAGCTTGAGAAGATGAGAAGTATGAACCCATATTGATTTATGTTCATGTCAGAATCACACATGCAACTCAAAATATTGTATCAATCAAGATTGTTCTGAAGATTGGATTTATGGCATGTGAATGTGGCATCATGTGTGTTTTTGGGATATAATTGTGTGATTTAAATGACACTAACGCTGAATTAAAATGGCCATATTGGTCCTTTATTCCGCCCACACAACACACACACATACAAGTATTAGCTGTAATATTGCTTATTAGAATACAGTTCACATATTTCAAAGACAGAGTAGCTACAGTTTTAAGACAGTGCTCGCCACAGAGGCAACATGAAACCCACCCCCCAAAAAACGAGTCTCCCTCTCTCTCTCTCTCCCTCTCTCTCTCTCTCCCTCTCTATCTCTCTCCCTCTCTCTCTCTCTCTCTCCCCTATCTCTCTCCTCTCTATCTCTCCCCTCTCTCTCTCCCTCTCTCTCTCTCTCTCTCCCTCTCTCTCTTTCTCTCTCCCCTTCTCTCTCCCTCTATCTCTCTCCTCTCTATCTCTCCTGCCCTCTCTATCTCTCTCTCTCTCCTACCTCTCTCTCTCTCCCTCTCTCTCTCTCCCTCTCTCTCCTCTCTCTCTCCTCTCCTCCCTCTCTCTCTCTCCTCCTCCTCCTCTCCTCTCTCTCTCTCTCTTCTCTCTCTCCCTCTCCTCTCTCCTCTCTATCTCTCTCCCTCTCCCTCTACTCTCTCCTCTCCCTCTCTCTCTCTCTCTCTCTCCCTCTTCTCTCTCCTCCATCGCTATCTCTCGCCCTTTCTATCTCTCTCCATCTCTATCTCTCTCCCTTTCTATCCAGGTGAGTACTGGCGATCGTTGAGGGTAGTGTCCCACACAGTGGATCAGTCCTACCTGCAAGCCCAGGGACAGAGTCTGAGACGGAACTTAGAGGACCACAACGACACAGTGTCCGCCCTGGCCTCTCTCTCCATGGCCAGCCTCACCACAGACAGGTAACAGTACTAGTGCTGAGCGATTTGTCCTTTTTGAGGTCGGTTCGTCTTTAGTTTGATAATTTCTTTTAATAGTCACTGTTTGCAATTTCGTTTCGATATTTTTTTTAGACATTAAATGCATTGTGCATGTGAGCTGAACACAGAATAAAACAATAAAAGTCCCGGTAGTGACTGCCCATTACTGCTTATAAACCATTCTTTATTCAGATTACTTTATTTTAATAAAATATTTCAGTTGGGTAAATTACATTTGTTTTATTTGATGACTTTATTATTTCTGTAGCTCAGCTGGTAGAGCACGGCGCTTGTAACGCCAAGGTAGTGGGTTCGATCCCCGGGACCACCCATACAAAAAAAATATATATAATGTATGCACGCATGACTGTAAGTCGCTTTGGATAAAAGCGTCTGCTAAATGGCATATTATATTATTATTATAAGTCATCTCATCTCTATAGAGCTGACAAAATCACTATTTTAGTAGTTCTTCAAAGTAAATAAGGCATACTTTTATGACTGTTGAATACCAACTATCAGTCACTTAGCTCATGTGTTTTTAGGTAGAGATACCTCGTGAAGCAAATGCTTTCTATCCCTCTCGATCACGCATTCTTCTCTCCGTCTCTGTGTCCCACACAGACCGGACAAGTAGGTGCGCAATGGATTATGGTCATTGTAGTTAATTACCACGCTTTCTAAATTATGTAGAATATTGGTCTCTTAGAAACTATAACTCCCTACTACATCACAGTTCGGTTTTGATCTGATTTATCTCTAGAGAAACTGCGCATCGAGCTCACAAAAAATTTTAATAATAATGGTGTTTTAAAAACTCTACATTCTAAAAACATTAAACAAGACCAGGCCGACCAAAGCACTGACAACATGTAGTATCATCACTGACATGAAATTATATTAAAAGGATTGGTTCACTCAAGACGTCCAGACAGACAGGTAACAACACTGACACCCTGTAGTCACATATGATATCAATATGATATAATGAAATATTAAGTGAAGTGTTATGACATGACATTATAGTTAAAGGGATGGTTCAATCAAAATACAAATGAAGGCTGTTGCCGACCTAAGTGCATATTTAGGTTATTTAGTTACTTTCAGCAGCCTCTGCCTAGCATTGTCTTTCCTAGACTGAAAGCTAACAGCCTACTGTAGGTATGTGGAACATCATGAGTGAACGACCCCTTTAAATATGTATTCGGTTAAAACATTGCCTTACTACATTTCAAATATTACGCCCTCAGCTGTCAGCTGCATTTCACCATACTGCTTTTGATTAGTGCTATTTTCCAACACTAATCCCTAGGCTTTTGAACCAGAAGATGAATCAATTAGTGTTATTTTTTCTATGGAAGAGAGTGTGAGAAACGAAAATACATGAATATATCTCAAAGTATAACATTCCGTTTGCCCATTAGCTAAGACACAAAAGAGACACCATCATCTCTCTCTCTTTAAAACCCTATTTAAACAGGTGTTGTCTACAAACATATGCATCACATATATTTGCTTAAAGGCATCAGTATTCTCTAGAACTATTTGCAACATCTGTATCCTATGGAAATATACAACAGTAATGCTGTAATACTATAATAATACTACAATAGGCTATACACCAGAATGCTATAGAAATCCATTCTCTCCTCTCTCCCTCCTATTCAGGACACACCGAGATGAACTCATGGAGGGGGACAGTGACTCCATGTAGACAAGTGCACTTTCTGATAAACCTATCACAGAGACAAACACACTGTGATCCACTGGGCGCTGCTTCACTTGACCAGAATCCACTGCCTCCAGTTGTCACTGTACAGACCACATCCTGACCTCTATAGTCCAACTGACTAGTGTACGCCTCACACACTCCTACACCTCATCAGAACACAGTACTACTGTCCTTACTAAGATCACTCGCCTGCTTCGACCGCAACTTAACCACACACTGAGAAGACATCCCATTAACAGGGTACAGGAGGACCAAGAGAGAGGACAATGAACACTTGTGTTCTAGACATGCCACTCCGTGCTTTTCCAGGTGTATTACTCCACCATTACCATATAACATTGTGAATTGTGAGGACACAGAAGGAGAGGAGCACTAGACCTGAGCAGAAACTGGAAGGGTGAAATATATATCCTTACTCCAAACTGCTTTCAAACACCACTGGGGAGGTTACGACTTGACTTGTAGCATGAAGTGACTTGACAAAGACCAGCTACACAGCTGGCTGTAAACAGACTCTCTCTGGGGAAGAGGACTACTTTTTTTTGCCTTGGCCACAGGTTACTGCCTGCATCGCCAGGCCGACAGAGCCGAATCACAAAGGGAAGTAGGAAGTTGTCCCACATCTCCACAGGAAGTCACTATAAAGGAGAACAGACATTGGACACACACCAAGGAACACCTAAAAAGCGTCTCGTTCTGATGATGTCATTCGTATTTATACATCGCCAACAAAATGAAGAAAAGGAGAGAGGAGACTGAGAATTTTTTACTGACTTTTTTTGCACAGTGCATTTTGTAATGTGAACCAAGGAGAGAATGACAGTATAGACCACGTTGAAGCTCTCCTGGGATTGAAGATAAAACATGTAAATTATCATACTCGTGTTTTTAAGCTGATTGAATTATTGTTAATTTGATCTATTGTATTGCAAATGTCAGTACATAATGGTAATATTTTTTTAATCATCACATAGCAAAGAGCTAGAACCCTATGATTCATGTGCACAGCTAGGGCTCTACCTGTGCAGAGCATATGCCCCTTTTCCCTTCCAGTTTCCAAAGTGGCCTTTTGGGTGGTGGTATAATTCCCCCCCCCCCAAAAAAAATAATATATTTTTTTAATACATATTTTTGTCATTGTGGTTCAGAACCCACTTCCTGCAAGTGGTCGTGACGTCGTCAAGTTTGCCACCCCACACCCCATCCGTTGGTTGCGCCTGTTAATCTGACCTGTACGGAGCTCACGCGCCCGGTTGTACCAGTTTCCCAGTCTGCCATGTACAGAGATTTAACAGTACTACTGGCCTTACTATGATAACATTTTCACTACAGAGGCATTTGGTATGTTAGGAATTTCGAGATATGAATTATTAGTATTTTCTTTGGTGGGGGGGTGTGCCATTTTTTTTTTAGCCCCCTGAAAGGTCTGTGCATGGCCCTGATAGGATTTATAGTTGTTTTCCTTCCAAAGGACAAAAAACATGCATAAGTGGGGGTAAGACTTTGTTAACACTCCCTTTCAGACAGCACTTAAGTAAAAGATGAAGCCCAAAAAGTCTTATTTTTATCTGAAGTTGTGGGCATCCTCACATTCTTTATCATTCTAGTGATAAAAGTTCTTAGGAATTAATCATATGATCAGTGAGACAATTCAATCAGGAAACCACTTGTTTGGTGAGAAAAGACACAGACAGTCGGATCAAACTTTCCAAAGCTGTTTCAGCCAATGACACACACCGCCATACTGTACAGAGAAGTCCTACTCTATGCTTGACCACACAAAAAAAATTTTTTTATGCATGTCAAATCAAAATGAAATAAAAATGTATTGGTCGCATACACAGATTTGCAGGTGTTATAGCAGGTGCAGCGAAATGCTTATTCGCTACACCCGTAATAACATCTGCTCAATATGTGTATTTGACCAATACAATTTTATTTGATTTGACTAGCTCCAACAGTGCAGTAGAATGTCATGCACATACAATACAAATACACAAATAATCAAAACAAGAAGTCAAGAAATGACAGAACGAGTCCAATTAACAATCCAGAGTAGATGTGCATTCGGAAAGTATTCAGACCCCTTGACTTTTTCCATATTTTGTTACGTTACAGCCTTATTCTAAAATTTATTAAATTGTTTTTTACCCTCATCAATCTACACACAATACCTCATAATGACAAAGCAAAAACAGGTGTTTAGAAATGTTTGCAAATGTATTAAAATTAAAAGACTGACATGACATTTACATAAGTATTCAGACCCTTTACTCAGTACTTTGTTGAAGCACCTTTGGCAGCGATTACAGTCTCTGACGCTACAAGCTTGGCACACCAGTATTTGAAAAACATTTCTAAAAACCTGTTTTCACTTTGTCATTATGGGCTTTTGTGTGTAGATTGATGAGGAATTTTTTTTATTTAATCCATTTTAGAATAAGGCTGTAACGTAACAAAACGTGGAAAAAGTCAAGAGGTCTAAAAACTTTACGAATGCATGTGGCATTAGTCTCAAGGTGCAGGGCATAGTACCGGGCAGGTAGCCGGCTAGTGATGGCTGTTCAACAGTCTAATGGCCTGGTGATAGAAGCTGTTTTTCAGACTATCGGTCCCGGCTCTGATGCACCTGTACTGTCTCTGTCTGCTAGATGGTAGCAGAGTGAACAGACGGTGGCTGAAGTCCTTGAGGATCTTTTTGGCCTTACTTTGACACAGAGTGTTGTAAATGTCCTGGAGGGCAGGCAGTGTGGCCCCGGTTATGGGTTGGGCTGACTGTACCACCCTCTGGAGAGCCATGCAGTTGAGAGCGGTGCAGGTGCCGTACAAGGCGGTAATGCACCCCGACAGAATGCTCTCAATGGTGCATCTGTAGAAGTGCTGAATTTCTTCAGCCACCTGAGATTGAGGCGTGGTTGCGCCTTCTTCACCACGGTGTCGGTGTGGTGGGACCATTTCAGGTCCCCAGTGATATGCACGCCAAGGAACTTGAAGCTTATGACCCTCTCAAATGTGGCCCCGTTGATGTGGATGGAGGTGTGCTCCCTCTTCTGTCTCCTATAGTCCACGATCAGCTCCTTTGTATTTTTTACATTGAGGGAAAGGTTATTTTCCTGGCACCACTCCGCCAGGACTCTAACCTCTTTCCTGTAGGCTGTCTCGTCGTTGTTGGTAATCAGGCCTACCACTGTCGTGTCGTCAGCAAACAAGTCTATTCCACTCTGGCGATGCCTTTCTTTATTGTTGTTCTGTTGTGATTTCACAAAGACCAGTGTTTTAACATGTGGATTGATTGACATGCCTGCTCTGTTTTATATATTGATAGGCTGTATTTCTTGATACTTACTTTTCTACAAATATAAAAGACATGCGAACTAGGACTTGTTCACATCTGAAACCACTCTATTTACAAAAAACATAAAGTATTTTTGTTCCTGGACCAAAGTGCTGTTGGACAGTTAGCATTTAGCCGTTGGAGTTAGCTTGTTGAGCTAGTTGTCTATTCATGTAGAACAATTGAACACAGGTTGAGAGAAACAAAAGCTTAAAAGCCTTATGGGAACAATATGCCAGTCGTGAACTGGTAGGGCCTCTGAGCATAACTTAAAAGATTCTTGTGAATTCCTGATAGTAATTGTATCTAAACAGAGATTTTGCAGCTAAATATCACCAAAGAAGGATTAAAAATGGCTTGCATTTCTTGTTAGCCCTTTCCATGAGATAATGATGTAATATATTTCTATGTTGTCCTTTTAATGCCTTTGCAGTGCCATGCTTATGTATCGTGTTTAATGAAAATCTGATGGTGCTACAGATTAATTTGTACTATCATGTTGTAGTGTTTCAGTACTTCATGGTGCTGTATAATATACATTATACAACCAAGACCTTACACTCTTAGAAAAAGGGTTCCAAAAGGGTTCTTCGGTTGTCCCCATAGAATAACTATTTTTGATTCAAGGTAGAACCCTTTTGGGTTCCATGTAGGACCCCCTGTGGAAATGGTTCTACATGGAACCCAAAAAGGTTCTACCTGAAACCAAAAGGGTTCTACCTGAAACCAAAAAGGGTTCTTCAAAGAGTTCTCCTATGGGGACAGCTGAAGAACCCTTTTAGGTTCTAGATAGCACCTTTTTTTCTAAGAGTGTACAGGACAAGACCCTGCAATAGATGTATGGGATTAATGACATTGACAATGTGAAAATGAGATCATTGAGAATGAAATAATACATTTGACTATGATTATGTAGAACAAAATGGCCACCACAAATACATTGTTGATATCTTTTTCAGAAGGGTTCTATTTCATATTTTATTGTGGTTTATTTCCGGTTTAATAAGTTCTTCTGAGAATATTTGTGTCCTGTAAATGTAATCTATTTTTTGAGAATCAACAAGCCCTTTAATTGTCTTAATATGAATTATTGCTCTTCCTCTGAGTGATTGGTTATTGATGTTGTAGATAGCTACTGAGACCAAAATACAGACATCCTCCTATGTGCCTTGAATTATACTGACAAACCTATAGAAAGGAAGCTTTATTGAACTGGATCTTAATTTAGAAAACAAGCCAAATAGAGATTAGATACAGATTTTTTCTCACTTTTTGTCTTGATGGGTTTGTTCTTTGTACCTGTACAGTAAAAAATTATGTTGTCTTTTTTTCTTTAAACTGTTTTCCTCAATGAAAGGGAAATGAAGTTCTCAACATTGTTTTTTTTCTGAAGTGTATATTTTGTATCCTTTCAATAATGTTTGAAATATTGGGCAATATTTTACTTACACCAAGCACTCAGCTATTTCGGTACTGTAAAAACGCATGACTTGGTAACATAACACACATTTTGACAAAAATCTTGGATCCTGCCTTGCAATGTCCAAATACAAAGGGTATTGCAATTCACATATTTTGTATCTTATTTTATAAGATATAACGTATAAGACATTGTCTTGTCCATCCATGTACTCTTTGTTATACATACTACACTGTCAATGTGTTCATTAGACGAGTTTCTATGAGACAGAAAGATGCAAAGTGTCTTTGAAAATGGGCTTTTTCAGACTATTTCAGTGGTATTTTATTAAAACAGCTTTTATTATTATTATCCACAGGAGCTCATGTAATGAAAAGCTGGAGACCAAAACATCTTCAAAGATAACTACAGCTGAGCATTAGGATGAACAAATATTTTGGAGACAGTATATCAGATAACATTCACGCTACCTAACAATACCCAGTAGCACAAAATCAGAATTTATCAAATGTTTAAAAAAAGTACATGGCACTGTTTTCCATTCTTAACACATTCTCAATTTACAGATAATGTATTGCAGTATGTATGTAGTATTATCTTAAAGAGAAATTCCCAGGAATTACTAAACATACAATATTGAAACTATATTTTCCTCTCATCAACTTGCATTTAAAACTACTACAGCGTTACTTGTACAGTGTACAACAATGTACAATGTACAGTAACTTCTAATTGTATCCTTACTTTAATTAAAGGTGTCCAAAGAATGTTATCTGTTACTCTTTTTCTAATGTATTATTTCATTGTTGTTTTGCATATTACGTTTTCATATTTTAATCCTACAGACCAATAACAATATATCAGAAAGACCTTAGTGGAAGCTCTCCACTATGTCTATGTCTAATCTATCCATAATCTGTGCATGCTACAAATCTGTGTGCAGTACTAATGTATTACAGGTAGCTTGCATAGATTATTGCTTAATTACTCTGATATAAAGTAATTATAATGTAAAATGTAACCTTTAAGAATAAGCAATTAGCATATGCACATGCTAAGTCCTTTCGCTATGAAGGGAAATAATGCAACAGAGAAATACATGTACAAGGCAACAGAAAAATCAAGCAGATTAGTTTACACTACTGCTGAAAACGTGTGTCAGGCTTCTTTGACTTTTCCTACCTATACATTTGAGGTTGAAAAGCCTAAAGCTTATAAGCATCTTTGCTGTAAACATTAATTGGGCTGGGACCACCAGCTATCCATCACTTTGGCATCATTATGATGATCATCAATATAATTATCATGATCACAAGTCATCTCAGTTGTCAAAGAATCTTCCTCTTTTAAAGAGTCTTTGAAGTGGCATAAAAATGGCGGATCATCGTCATGCCTCAGTGACAGTCTGTCAGACCCGGTTCAGGTCGATGCGTTGGACGTTTTTAACGTACAGAAAGTTCATCATGTGACCCTTAAGTATCCTACTCACTTGACTTCCGAAATGTGTCACATACTGTATGTCATTATAATACTCTCTGTCAGACTGGATATCTGTCCTTAAACCGAAGCATGTGTCCGGTCCAATGCCCATGTCTGTGGGGCAGGGCTTCCAAAGAAGGAGAGATAAGGGTATAGCAGGGGGAACTACTGGACCGACAGGAACAGACCTTTTTAAGATGGGGCGATGAGTCCATCCTAAAAAGAGAAAGAAAAATAGACTGCGTCAACAACAGTTTTCATCTTGGTTTTAGCGTTTTATACCTCATATTTCAGCCTAATTCAACCACACAACCTGATGCAAAAAGTAATTTTTTTTTAAAAAAAAGTTGGTTTACTGAAGAAACAGACATGGATGTGTACATTTTTGTCAGTATAGGAAAATAATATATGAGCGAAAATCCGCAGAGAAGTCGTTAATGTATTCGCGTGTGCAAGTCGTTGTCCCAAACAAACACATAAACCGTCAAACAAAGCTAATTCTTCTCACATAGCGTAAAAAAAGCCCACAGTGCTAAACTTCTGCTCTTTCTCTTGTTTAACAAGCAAATATTCCATCTGGAGTGTTCTCAATTGTCTGTAATTACAATGTTTCTCTT